AGAAACCAAGAATTATTATTCTTGAGAATTATGTCAATCTTATGATTATTAGATTTATATTGTATAAAGATGGCTATAAAAGTTTCAATTTTTATATGAATAAATTATCTATCATTAAGATTTTCAGGTTGATGTAATATAAGTTATACCTTGATTTTTTTTTTGAAAGCAAAAGTAATTATAAGCATAGATGCTCAGAATTTTTCTATATTTTTAGAGGGCAGTTCTAATTTCTTGATAAGTATGACTATGGTCTAAATCAACTAGTATAGCAACCATGGTTTTGTTTTTTTCTTCTTCTTTTTAAAGAATTTCTTGTCTAGAGAAAGTACATATTTCCTTATTTATCTACTTGTATAAATATTAAGATAAAATTTTTACTTTCTTTATTATTTATTTTTTCTATATATTGTAAAGTATCTTTTATTTCAACAAAGTTGAAGATAGTTTAGGCATTACTATTCAAAAAGTCTTTTTGATAGTTGTATATTTTTATGTATATTTAAGATATTTAGAAGATAACTTGTTCATTCCTTTTTTGTTTCTCCTGGTATATTGAATGTAAGTATTTTTACTTTATATTTATTCTCTTCTGTAATATGGGATGGATTTATGCTGGTTGATTTGACTTTGTTTTATATGTATGTTATATAAAATCTGATCAGCTATATTTTCTTCTTCAACCTTTTCTTGTATAATTTTCATTTAAATTTTGTCTTCCTACTCTGTTTTCTATTTCAAGTTCAGGATTATTTATAATTTCAACTATAACTATTGATTGAATTTTTATGTTTCCTTTAAATTAAAGTTATCTTGTATATTTTGATTTTCTATTATGGGATTTTCTAGATTTTGTTTAAGTCTTATAGTTTGTATAATTTGAGTAAAGTTATTTATAGAATTATTTTATGTAAAAATGGTTCTATATTTTTCTTTAAGAAAGATACTAAGAGATTTTTTTCTTTTCTATGACTCTGACCCCATAAATAGAAAATATGTTGTTTAATAACTATGACTTTTAAGAAAATAGTTAAATTTACTTTCAAGATTTTGACTAAAATACTATCTAGTATTGAGTATTCTATTGATTCTGGAGTTTAATTTAATGTATTAATTTATGCAGTGAGGGTATTGAAAATAATTTAAGTAGTCCATAGTACTTTTCTTGAATTATATTTTTAGTTATTCTAACTATTGAATCTAGAATATAAAGTTTTTTTTTCTTTACAATTTATATAATTCTATGTACCTTTATTATTTTATAAGTCACATATACTGAAGAATAAATTGTTTATTTAATTGTTATTTGTTTATTTTGATTTATTTGCATTGTTTTTAAAAAATATTGTGAAGTTAATGTGTTATTGTCTAGTTTGATACTTTGTTTATAAAAGAAATTGTGGATTTTTCATATTTTATTTGTTTATTTATCAGATTTGTTATTAATTTACTTTTGTTATAAAAGTTAATTCACTTTGTTTATAGAGTATCAATAAATCTTGTATTATTTTAATAATTGCTATAAACTAATATGTTTGTGTTCATATTACTTGTTTTGATATTTAGATTATAATGATAAACAATCAGGATATTCTATTATTTAGTCTTTGAGAGCCTTTAATGTCCTTTTGAACTTTGGAAACTTTGAATTTTTTCTAATTTATCAATAGAAACTAAAGTTTGTAAAGTTTCTTCTAGTGCTTAGAAAGATATAAATCTATACTGACCTAGCTAGGAGCTTGGAAAATTGATATTGAGCTCTTTTAAACTTATTGTAAACCAGTTTGTAGATATGTTTCTTCATTTTAATAATAATAAAACTATGAAAGAATAAAGTGTAGTTTTTAAACTTTTTCTCAATAAATAAATTTCTTTGAATATAGTTAAGTGTTATACAGTTTATTCCTTAGTTGTTAATTTATAATAGTATAGTGTTTTTTGTTGATTTTTTTTTTCAAAAAAATTAACAAAAAAAAAAGTTTTTAAAAAAAAGATAATCAGCGGAAAGAGTTTTTTAAGACTTTTTAAATATTTTCAATTAATATTTTAAATATAATAAAAAAATTAGTAGATATTTTTTATAATATTAAAATTATATAAATTGTTTAAAGTTGTTATATTTTTATTATAATAAAAAGTAAGACCTATGGATCGATAGTGCAGTGATTAGCACTCCATAGATTAAATCACAAGATACAAAGTTCAAATCCTATAAGGGTCATAAACATTTATCTATTGACCTAAATATATATAACTGACATTTTGAATATAGCTATTGATTAATAGGAAGATATGAAAATTGTGATTGAATCAATCTTCAAAGTCAAAATTAGAACAATCCTGAATTGATAACATTGCTCATAGCAATAAGAAGAGTAAATCTAACCAATCAATAAAATGCCTTTAAAGATCTTGATATACACAAACACTGGATAGTGAAGGAGAGGTCTTGTCCTAATTATCGAGAGACCTTGATGGAAGAAAACCTATGAACTATTTTGAAGGACTAAAATATTGGGTCCAGGATAAAGAAAATTTGATAGCCTGATAACCAGCTTGCTCTTAATAAAAATTATGCTGGGAATAATCAAGAAGAAATTCTATGGCTTTTTGATAAGGTGGTACTTATACATATAGTATAGTCTATATAACTAGCTAACATAGATAGGATACTAAGAATAGTTGATATATATAGTAGTTATTTAACATACACAGAGTATAACAGAGTAATATATTGAGATATATGAGGTTAATATATAAATATACTATACTATTACTGAGTAGATCCAGAAATGGGTTAAATGTAAAATTAAAATTTGCTAAATAAAAGCTATAGTTCCTTTCTTTCACTTTCCCTATATTCCAAAACCTCCACGAAACTCTCAACTTGTCATTACCCAGAAGAATATTTACAAAAGATTCCATATTAAATAGGATATGAAAAAAATGAGACTGGAACTGGTAGACAATAGTCAAACATAATTAAACCATTTTCTTCAATCCTCTAGTGCCTTTTTTATAATGCAAAATTTTCATCTTGTTTAAGCTTGTATAGCCTTGTTCTCTTATTTATAAGAATAGTTAGCTTAAAAAGATTGGTAGGATATCAAACATAACATTGTCAAGTAAATCTTAAACTTTGACAAACTTCTTAAAAAGTAGAGCATAACTAGGAATGTAACTAGAAACATAACTTTCTTTTCTATTATTTTTCTTTTATGCATATTTGAAATTTATTTCAACATTAGTGAAGCTATATACTAATCTTCTGGTCTTTAAAAAGATGGCCTAACCACAAGGTAAAATGACCCTTAAAGGAGACCTTTTATTGTTTTTATTTTATTAGATAAGAAAATTCAGATATATAATATTTGAGTTAACTCAATTCTTTTATCTATGAGTTTCAATAAAGTATGATAAAGCCAGTATTAAAAAAATATATATATATTATAATAAAAAGTAAAGCTTCTATTAATAATAATATTATTATTAAAAAATAAAATATATTTTATGATTTAATTTATATATTATTTTTAACTTATATTTTTATAAAAAATTTTTTGATTTAAATGAAAATAGTAAATTATTAATATTTATCAAATCAAAAAATCAAAAATTGAAATTATACAAAAATATAATATATTTATTATTTAAAAAGTATAATAAGAAAATTAAATATTTATTAAACTATAAATTTTTTAAAAATAAAATAAACACATAAAATAAAGAATGGAAAAATTAATTAAAATTAAAAAAGCTTTAAAAAAAACTTTAATTTGAATTAGATTATAAAATAAAAATAAAAATATAATTAAATAAAATAATAATTAAATTTTAAAATAAATCAAAATATTTAAACTTTTATAGGATTTTAAATTAAAAACTAGTAAAAAAAATATAAATATCAAATATTAAAAAAAAATCAAATTAAAATTAATAAATAACTTAAAAAATATAAAATTTATATAATATACAAGAATAATTAAAATAGAAATGAAATTAAAAAATCTAATAAAAGAATAAAATTAATAAAGTTTTAAAAATTCTAATATATATATTGGTCTTTAATGATAAATAAAGTGAAAATTATTCAATGTTAGAAATAATGATATTTGATAATTAAAGATATAGCAATAATCAATTGTTGAATAAAACTGATATCAAATTAATTTTAACTTAAGTCAAAATGTATATTAAAGATTTATATTAGTAATACTGTATATAAGTAATAATATTTATAATCGAAAGAATATTTACAGTATTTGAACTGTGAATAGAATAACACATTATTCTCAAAGTTGTATGGAAAATAAAATTGATAAAGATGAACGGGTTAATTAATAATTATAGCTTTAATATTTCATCAATATTTACAGTATAAATTGTAAGTGATTGTTTAATAAAGCACACTTATATGACCTGACAAAAAGTTCGTTACTATACATTCAAAACTTGCAAAATTTAAAAACAGCATAAGCAATACATTGTTATTAAAAAACTTTTAAAATTGCAATATGAAAGTATTAAAAAAAATTATGTTATTATGTATTTGTTATGATCGCTTAAATACTATCGTTTGTCTTTATCATATGATTAATTGAATTCTCATTTCTACTTAAAAAAATGTCATATACATACCAATAATGTTGAAGCTAGAGGGATTTAAAATTCGTACTATTTCTTGTGATGTCATAAGTTAAAGCACAAACTATCTATTGTTTGATAATTCATTCTAAAAACAAAAATATCAAGCAGAAACTCACCTGACCTAAGCGCAACACTAAAATGATAGAACACATAAATTTTCGCGTGAAAAAATGATGAAACACGAAGTAGACGAGTTGCAAATTTTTCACGGGAAACCTATTTTTAAAGTTGCATTATTTTTTAAAATCATTTGTCCAAGGTGTTATTCCGAGGTCGCGGACAATCGGGTACAAAAAAGAATTATCGAATCAGGCAACTCAAATTTCACAAACTACAGCAAAGTTTATGCAAAGTCAAATTATCATCGACAACCCCAACTTCTCGTTTTTCACCATGGACTCGCATTGCTGCAACTCCTCTTCGTCAAGTTCATTCTTATCGTCAAGAAAGTATCTTTTCATAGGATTAATTTCAAAAATATGTTTGCTATGAAGATTCGAAACCCGTTCTAGAAGCTGATCGTTAAAATTCAATTTCAGTGGAAGCCTGCGTTCAACGTAGGACGGAGGTATCGACAAATAACGGGTATTCATCTCATCCTTTGAAAAGTTCTACAACAGTTTGATAAATAGCGAATTAATTAATTATGATAATTTTCATAAAATTAAATCATAGTCTTGGAATATACTTTGGTCGGATTCTTTTGGTCCAAAACACGTAACGACAAACCAGTCTTATGGATGTTGTGCGCAAATAATTTCTCTTCAAAAGTTCCATATGTCACGAACCGATAGACGTACACTTCCTTTTTCTGACCGTAGCGATACGCACGTCCGATAGCTTGTTCTGCGACACTTGGATTCCAATCGCCGTCAAATAGAATCACTCTATTCGCCCCAAATAGATTAACGCCAACGGCACCTGTCTTTATAGATATCAGTGCAACACGCCATTCTTCGGACTTATTAAATCTATCAATTAATTCTTGTCTACTTGAGGAATTCGTGTCGCCAACTATACGAATGTCTTGACCCGATATCTTTTCTTGCGTTATCATCTTTTGAATGAAATTTATTGTTGGAATACTTTTTGAAAATATGAGCACCTTGTCATTGATTTTCTTGCATTGAATCAATATCTCTTTGAGTAAAACCATCTTTCCGGAGCTGGATAAGGGATGTAATTTATCTATTGGGCCTGCCATGTTTTCAATAATAAATTCACGAATGTTCGGTGCAATAGATTGAGATTTGTCCTCAGCGCCTTGATCAGTGTCACTTTCGTTGGTCAGATCGATATACAACACCTGTCCTTTCATTTTACCTGACTTTTGTTTTTCCTTCTTAAATACCGAATCCAACATTATTTTAGGATGATTGCATAAGTTACTTAACAGATGATCGTATTGAACCGGCGTTAAATTCTCCTTTTTGATGTAGCCAATGATGTCCCGGTAAATATCTAGTTGTTCAGGTGTCAACATAAATGCTATGTAAAAATCATGTTTTGGCTTAAGTTCTTGTTCGAGAATTGTGCCACTGCGCCTGTGCATAATGTCTTCAATGACCCTGCTCAATACGAACAACGTTTTCCTCGATGTCTTTTCCTTGGATGATGAGACCTGCTTATACAACCCTTCTTCAATTGGCGCAATGTATACCTTTCTGAAATTTTCAAATTTTCCGAGGAAATTAGGGCACGCAAAATCTATTGTGCACCAATACTCCTCCAAATTATTTTGCAGCGGAGATCCTGTTAGAATGATGCGACTGGGTGTTCTGAGGCGCACGAGATCTCGATAAAGTCCTGTGTCCTTGTTTCGTAGTTTATGACCTTCATCTGCCACGACGAGAGATGGCCCGGGCTTCAATAAAAATTCGCTGTATCGAGAGTCCGAATTAACGACGGTGTGGAACATTTCATATCCCATCAATAGAATCCCTCCCTTCCACCATTTTTCCAGTAAGCTGATTCTCCTTTCCTTGGTATCATGATCATCTCTGAATTTATACACTGGACAAGTATTGGAAACATCAATTTGTTTTATCCATTTCTTGAATTCCTCCTCCCAATTGCATATAAGAATCTTCTGACATAAAATTAATATTCGAAAATCGTGGAGATGTTTGGGTATCATGCTGGCGTCTGATTTCTGATTTTTTACTGAAGCAAGCATAAACAAGAATGTGATAACCTGGAAGGTTTTTCCGAGTCCCATGGAATGCGCAAGCACACAACCTTTATTAAACATAATTATATTCTTCCAGAGGAATCGCACTCCCTCAATCTGATGTCTTTTTAATTTAGAAGCTAACCCCTCATGAATGTATATGTGAACTTCATCTTCTTTATGGCCAAGATTTATTATGATCCCCTTCTCTCTCTTGGTTGATTTTCTTTGCATCACATAGCGTCTAGTGAATTCTTTCTCGAGCAATGCACGGTCTTTTCGCAACTTAATAACGTCCGGCATTTCCTCCTCAGTATAACCAAACTCGAGCTCTTTTGGAATATCTTCGATGATGGGTTTTCGTTTTTTCTTGTTATTTTCGCTGTCCATATCGATATCCGAATCACTATCAATAACAATGATATCCTTTTCACGACATGGTTCGGATGACGCAGCACGAGAGGGTTCCGGTGAAGTAGCTTGTGATGGTTCTTGGGAAAGTTTAGGCGAAGAAACTTGAAACTTTTCTTCGCAAGATGTTTCGTTCGAAATTGAAACAAACTGCAATTTCATGCCAATCCTTTCAAATTCTGCCAATTCTTCTGGTGTATATTCGACATTAGAATCGTCGATGAAATCTGATTCATAATCCGAGTCTTCTTCGTCTTCCCTTATAAATGCATCATCCCTTATTTCAGAGTTCCTCTGGATATCATCTTCCTGGTCTCGTGTTCGCTTCGAAGGTCTCTCCGGAACTTTTCCGCCCTTGACAAGTTCAATTTTCCACTCGGTCTCGTAAATTTCATGAAGCGTGCTGTCCAGATTTCCACACCGCTGTTTGGCAATTCTATCAAGGTGGACTCGTGATATTATATTAGGCTTTATTTCTTCAATTAATTCGGGGAGTCGTTTACTTTTCAAATGGAAACAATCCTTTTCTAAGGAATGTATTACTTCTCTAGGATTAACGTGTTTTCTTGGTGGCAACAGTCTAGTCCAATGCCACCACCTCCTTTCCTCAAGTTTAGGGAATCTTTCTAACTTCCAATTTTGATGCACAATATCGATATATTGATCTATAATGTCCTGAGCACGGTTTTTATGCTCGATGCTATCGACGTCTATGAAGAGAGAAGGTTTTCCTTTTCTTAGACATTCTTCCTCTTCCCTATTCATATCCTCTTCGAAGTCACTAGAGATGTAGTTTTGTTCTGGATCACTTTCTCCGTATGGCAAAAGTAATTCATCCTGTTCCATGTGCAACCATTTTTTCATGTACCCATAATTCTGTTTCTTTTCATTTACTCGTTCTCTTAATTGCTCCATATGTTTTGAATTGTCACCGTATTTAACTGCACGAAAACGAGAGAAAAGATCCTCCTCTTTCTCGCTTTCATCTTCATCATCACCGTCATCATCATCATCATAATCATCCTTGCCATCGTCATCATCCCAATCTTCCTCGTAGCTCAGGGCATCTTGCATGTGTAAGTCTCCTTCCTCATCAAGATTATGCTCCTCTCCTTCGTAGTCATCATAATAGCGCATCTCTTCATCTTCAGAGGTCAAGCAATCCTCGTCTTCCAAATCTTCTTCCTCATAATCCTCTTCACTTACCGGCGAGTCTCCGTTAACTCCGGTGGTGTTTGTGGTGCTTGGCCACTCAGCAGATTCCAACAGTATTGACGGAAGTTCCACCGGGGGAAAAACTAGGGGAACAATGGTTTGTTCGTCTATGGTATCATTAAAAAAAAAAAAAAAAAAAAAAAAAAAAAAAAAAAAAAAAAAAAAAAAAAAAAAAAAAAAAAACGTCAAGTTCACGCCATTCAAGAAATACACGCCGATGAAGAAATGTTTGATACCGGTTCTACGAAGTAAAGCTATCGACATTACTATGTTAAATTGATCATAGTGATTCTCGATATTCATGTGTTCCTTCAGAAAACTATAGTTGACATCCATCAATTTCTGGCCGTCGATTCCAGCCTCCCGAAATCGACTCGCGACGTCCGGTCGAATTCCCAATGTCTGAATCCAACCGTATACTTCATCAACCGACCATTTGTTTGGATCCTCGTTTGTTATTTGAAAGTTCATTGAGATAAGTAAGAAATAAGAATAAATTTTTTTTAGAAACAAATTTTCCCTTGGTGAAATGTATATATATGATTAGTCACGATGATCATTGATAAACTGGAATGATCTCGCTTCATTTATACTTAACAAAATAATGAGCGCAATCAAGGAAACAATTAGGAATGACATGTATAAATTTGGAAAGTGTAGTAGCACATCAACATGTTTACATATTCAAATTTCCGGTGTTTTTTTTTTTTTACTGTTTATGTAAGATTTGTTCTAGAATTATGTAAATATAAATGCACAGTTTATTTTGATACAAATTATAATAAATAAAAATATATACTCTCTAATTAGGCAAATATAATACATCCGCGAATATTAATAAACTTTATAACATAATAAAAATACGTGATATGCTATTATATTAATTGTTCTTGAGACAAGAAATCATTGTTGGTATTTAATGATCATACTTTTCCGTTATAAGGTGTTACTAACCTTGTCTCTTTGAAATTGACAATCCGAACTAAATCAAGCCATATTAATCATATGAAAAATTTCACAGAGAATAATTTCTCCGAATGGAAGCCTACGCGACATAAGAGGTAACTGTGGATGAAATGAGAAGGTAATGGAAACAATTACCGTGCAGCGCTGCAATTAGTATCCCAGGAATTCATACGAATTACTTGGTAACGGTATGAATTGAAATAATTTATATCCAATGAGCTATTGGTGCGTTCAACAAAATATTACTTTTTTCTCCGGCAAAATTCTGAGTAAGCATTAGTGAGATCGGGTATATCTTTTTTCCGTTATTGCTAAAGAAGCAAGAAATTCAATATACTTGTTAATCAATAATTTGACAATAGACTGATCGAATCAGAACACAGATATACGCATTTACTTTATTTTTACAGTAAACGTTCTTAATAACAATCTATGAATGTGAACTACTTTTACTGATATCTATGAAATCATTTTCAATCACAAAAATAGTTATTTTACGCAGACTATTTGTCACTTTAGAATCTCACAGATTTTCTACCAACTCTTTTTAAACACCGAACTCCGTAATAAAAACGATAATTTTATCTGACACATTAAAGTTGCAAATGTTTGTAATTACATGTTCGAATTTACGATGAATAAATTCGAGTGATTGGAAATATAATACAGGATTTTTATCACATCAAAATATAATCTATCTCTGGACTATAGCAGAGAATGATAAGCTGATTTACACATGATGAAATACAGCTAAATTATAGCGGCAGCGTGGTTCTTATAAGTATCTAATAATAACAAGGCTGTTGATCTTTTACTTGTGCCCAGCATCGTCGAGAAAGTTCGTATCAATTCTTGACTCGGGAAAATCGAGTCCACAAGATTATATACTACTTGGTTTCTCAGTCATTGTTCTATCTTCCGTTGCCCCGGATCCACCGACATCATCCAAATCACTAGCAGACGTATTTGGTGTCGCGACAACAGGAGTTGATGATAATGAAGAATTTCTGGATTGTGAAATTTTTTGTTCATCCTGGGTGGAATCGAGCAACGTTTTTTTTTTTATTTGAATCCATTCTACGACAACAGATAAATATTTCCTGAATTCAGTGTCGCACCAACTAATTAAAGTGTGCACCTTCTTCTTTGTTGTTTCAGGTACATATTCGTTATATAACGGAACTATAAATTTAAAAATATTATTACTTTGATATTTTTTAATTAAATTAAGAACATAAAGAAGGAAACCTACATGAGTCTTTACACGTTGATACAATCTTTTTCAGCATCTTTCGACAAATTAAAAACCACATGGGAACACTCACGGACCCTTTGAATTGGTAATTTCATTACAAGGTTATACTCCATTATTTACCAGTTATATTTACGAAAAAAAATATTAGATCTAACCTGGTGGTGCAAATGGAAAAGAGAAAATCCGGGTAATGGGATTAAACCAATCCTTTGGAAGATAGAATACCGGTGAAGAACGATACCAAAGAACCGTAATTATCTGTATACCATTGATGGCGACCCATAAAAATGTAGTAAACTTGATTTCGAAAGTAGTCTTTAAATATCCCATGGATGATGCTGTCATAGATCGGAAAATTTTAATACTCGAAATAAGACATGGCAAAGAGATCACCAAATAAAAAAGAATAATCACTCATTTTTTCCAGCTCTGTCGTCTTGCTATCCAGTTTTCGCTTCATCTTAGCCCATTTGGAGAATTGATCCTAATCAATGTTTAATGAGATTTAGCTTTATGTTGAAGTAAACATTTTTATTCGAAATATAAAAGAAAACCGTGCAACAATCAAAGTATACTTTAGTCAAATAAAACGACAGAATAGTACACAAAAAAACAATCTACATATTTCATAAATATCAAATAATACCTTCGAACTAGTTCTTGATAAGTCTTGCTTGATACTCAATATATCCTTTTTGATTTTTCTCTGTTTTAATAACTTTTCTTTTTGAAAAGTGTTCAAATAAATGCTGCATGCCTACAATTTTTTTAAAAGAGATCGTCAAATCCTCGTATAAAACACAACTGACGTGACGACAAGAAAAAAAATAATCTTACTATGCTCGCGAACTGGGAATATCCTAACCATTGTATAAACTCCGAAATAAGAACGATGATAACAATGGAAAAGAGTAAAGACATGCTAAAATTTTCAAAGTTTAATCCTATTATTTAAGAACGAGAACAGGTGGTACAATGAGAGGATAAAAAAACGCGACAAAGGATTAAACTTAAGGAAAAAAAAAAAAAAAAATGTAAGAACAAAAAAAATTTTTTTTTTTTTAATATTTGTTTGTTGTATCTGTCGAACTTGGAATTTGGTAATTGTATTGGTCGCTGGCATCTTATGTAATTGTTAAAGACTTTACATTGTGATTAGTGCTTCTAATTCAGGCTATTGATTACATAAGAAGCCAAAAAAAAATTTTTTTTTAACTCGCTAAAATTAAATGTATTATTAAATAATTAAAAGTCAAATAATTTATTAAAAAAAATAAAAAATTAATTTTTTTTTTTTTTTTTTTTTTTTTTTTTTTTTTTTTTTTTTAAACGCTAGCTCATCCTTGCGCCATGGTAAGTTACACGTTTTTATTACTCTACCCTCATCATTCATTAAATAAGATTAACATTATGCAATACTGTAATTATTAATATACTAACAACATGAATGTTGAAAAAAGAAAATCTTAAAAACGCCCTACACTCAACCTTTTCTGAAACAAAACAACAACCAGCCAAGGTTTTGATTTGGAAAGTGGAATTATTTACATCGCGTATCATTCAAGTCACTCGCTAAACCGAAAGATTTGTCGTCTCATTTTACAATCATTCGCTTCAATTTATTTTATTTTAAATATACATAGAACACAACAATGGTTCTTTGGTATTAATATTCTGTGATTACGAACAATAATTAGCCTCATTCAGAGTTTCATCTTTTCTGGAGATTTAATCATTCGAGAACATAATTATGAATTACAACGATTTTAAATATCTTCCCTGATTATTTAAATCGTGGATTCCATTTTTTTTACTACGCCTCTTTTCACAATAAGTTTATCTTTAATAATAAGCATAGCATATAAATTATAAATGTTTATGCAGTAAATCCATTTAATATTTTTACCGGTACGTACTTGTATAAATTAAGGGTGATGTAACTGTTAACTTTTTTTAAACTTCTTATCGATAAAATTAATATCAACAATCCGTTATACAACGGTGGTTGTTATATTCTGTAATCTGATAAAAGATCTAATTTGTCTTTCCAGATCTAAATTATAACCAAAATCCTAAAAGTCGCAAAAAAAAAAATGTGCCAATACCAATCCCACTTCCAACTAAATTTAGAGGTTATGACACATATTTTAAATAAAGAAAGTAATGTTTATTCTTTATTACCAGATATGTACAGATATCATAGTTTTGTCAGGTTTTCTCTCATTCCTCTATTGGAACCTACCGGGGCGTCGGTTCTAAATACGGACAAAACAAGTCTAAATCTAGTTGCATGCATGCATAATTTGTATTGAGGCCAAATGAGTCGAGGATCTCATGCTAGTCTAACAGCCCCAAAATTGGGATGAGCCGCTCTTAGAACACATGATCAACAAAATAAGATGCGGTATCTAATATAATACTGTATAGTTGAGCTGAATCAACTTGAAAACTCTATATGCGTACTGTATAGTGTAGGTTAGATTTAGTATTGATTCATAAAAATTCAGAAGTTATTCGAATATCATAATTTAACTGTATTCGGAAATAAAGGAAGGAATTCTTTATTCATGGCGTTTAATTGTGTTGATATTTAAAGCATTTTCTGAAAACAAAGGTAAAAATGATACCAAATAATTAGAAGTATGTTACATTATTAATTCAGAACAACTTATACTGATAAACAGATAACGAGTAACACTAGTGCTAATAATTTTTTTTTTTTTTATATATCCCTCAGCCACATGTTGCATGATAAAGAAGCGAAATTGTTCACGAGTTTGGTTAATTCCAATACTGAATGATCATATGAATAAACATTAATGCAAAGAGAGCGTTAAAAGGTTCAAAATTTTTGGTTTTTAGATTCTAAGTTTTTTAAATTATTGTTTTTTTGAACGTACGTTTGCATTACAAATTGTATGCAAAAATTCTCCAATTATTAGATTTACGTGGAAAAAGCAACGAAAGAAATGATGGCAAATGATGCAGAAGTATTTGTGTTCAATCAAATGATATGCGACAAAAGATCTTACGTGTTTCAATTGCGTATTCAATTGGATTAGATTTTTTTGTCGTTTTTATCTTCACATATCATACGAATTTAGCATATTTTTTAAAAAATATTTACACCGTATATTCAATAGCAGTATGCTAACGACATCTAAATTTCCAACATCGAGGCTACTTGTTCGTCTTCTTTCAACGAGAGATGAACCCAGATCATTCTAATGGCGTTTACAATGAACCTCCG